ACTCTCCAGATCTTCTGGGCTTCTGAAAGCTCAGCCCCCAGCGTCCTGCTGGAGGATGGCGTCACAGGGAGGGGATTTCAGACTCCTGCTGAGTTGTCTCCTCAACAAAGCGGCGCCCCGGGAGGCGGGGAGGTCCTCTCCAGCTTTTGCTTCCTCCCTTTTGTGCTGGGATAAACGGGGTTGCTGCCTTCAGACCCCACGTTTGGCACTTTATTTAAACCAGGCGTGGTCAGGATCGTGTTGATTCCCCGCGTTGGGGGTCTGGTGCTTTACCTCAGTGCGTAAGGAGGACGTAAGGAGGACGCATGTGTCTCTCCAACTCCTCATAACATATTCCATATCACTCACCACACCTTTCCTGCTGTCTCCAAGCCTTTCTGCTAGCTTCCAGGTAACTATTATTAACAAAACCTTCCTTATTCCAAATTTTAATCAAATTAGTTTTGCTTCAGAAACATTCCCGGGCAGTATCAACTTCCCCGGTAGCCGACTCGATGGCCAAATCCGTTGTAATTGCGTCCTTTGTAACGACAGGTATTTGTGATGCTGACCTCCCTTCTCCTCCGTCTCGAGACATCTTTCCATCTCCGATGTTACCACCTGTGTTACTTTCTCCTCTTGCAGGAAACTCTTGCCAAGCCTTAAAACCAAAAAGCCTCAAGAACTTGTTTTGGTGATTGGAACAGGAATCAGCGCAGCGGTCGCTCCTCAAGTCCCGGCGTTGAAGTCTTGGAAAGGTTTAATCCAAGCTCTCCTAGATGCTGCTATTGACTTTGATCTCTTGGAAGACGAAGAGAGCAAACGGTTTCAGAAGTGTCTCCACGAAGACAAGAACTTGGTTCACGTCGCCCATGACCTTATCCAGAAGCTGTCTCCGGTGAGCCTCCTTCTGCGTAAATATTTGGTACCCAGCCCCCGGCGTAGCATTTGGATTTTGGAAACAGCTAAATTTGGTTCTCCAGCGTTTCCCCGTCTCCAATAATTACTCTTTTTTACAAGGACCCACAAGTGCAGTTATTGTGCCAGGTTCCTGAGGCATAATCGTGCCGTGGGCACCAGCTTTTGGATATTTCCCTGGGATTACGTGGGGTGGGCAGTACCCGCCTCGATGCCGTACGTGCTCTGCGTTTGCTTTGCAAGGAGCCATAAATTCTGTGGGTAGTTTTTCCTCGAGTCGTTTAAAAGAAGCCAGGCTCTGATCTTCATCTCTCTCCCCTTTTCTCAGCGCACAAGCAACGTCCGCTCCACTTTTTTCAAAGACTGTTTATACGAAGTGTTCGATGACCTGGAATCGAAAATGGAAGATTCTGGGAAGCAGCTCCTTCAATCTGTCCTTCACTTAATGGAAAACGGGGCGCTGGTGTTAACCACAAACTTTGATAACCTGTTGGAACTGTACGCAGCACATCAGGGGAAACATCTGGAGTCTCTTGACCTGACTGATGAAAAAAAGGTAAATAATTATTTTATTTTATTTTATTTTATTTTATTTTATTTTATTTTATTTTATTTTATTTTATTTTATTTTATTTTTTCACCAACAACCTCTTTTTTCCACTCTGGCTTTTGCTGGTGAGGAGCTTCTTGTCCTTCTGTTCACTTGTTAAACACACGCGCGGCGTGTAGGTGTGATCTGACTCATTTCTCTGCTTTGCTTTTCCTCCCTGACCTCTTAATCTACGTGACTGGAAGTCCTTACAGGTTTATAAATAAACATTCTAATTATTGCACGCTTAAACGAGCTAAAGAGGAAACCGAGAGTGCCTCGGAAATGGCTTTTGGAAATGAAGGTTGAACTTCTTCGGAGCCTAGAGGAGCCAAGAAATAAACTTTGTAGGTTTGTGGTGTAATATTTATAGTTTTATCATATTTATAGAGTTTTATAAGAGTTTTATAATATTTATAGAGCTTTTACCCCCTTTTTCCGATGAATCCAGTGTATTGATTCAGTCTCTTCCCATGGCATTCACCCTTCAGCTGAAGCATTGACCCAAACGAGCGCCGTAGGCCGTGACGTAGAAGACTCATGACCTCTTTGAGGAGATGAGACAGAACACGAGGAAGGAGCCTTTCCTCTTGGAAACAGCTTCCCCAGAATTCACTAACATTTCTGGAGGGGTTTGTTTTGTGCAGGTGCTGGAGTGGGCTCAAGAGAAGAGGAAACTTAGTGTCCTCCATATCCACGGCGTTTACACCAACCCCAGCGGCATCGTCCTCCACCCGGCCGGCTACCAGAACGTGCTGCGCAACACCGAGGTCATGGTGAGGCAGCCTTGTCTGCTCTACGGGGTGTATTTTGGGGTCCACCAGCTGAATTTAAACACTGGGTGGTGAGAGAGGAAATTTTTTAATTCATAAAATGCTTGCCTTGACTTAAAAACATCGTTCCCTTTTTTTTTTACAGCGAGAAATTCAGAAGCTGTATGAAAATAAATCCTTCCTGTTCTTGGGCTGTGGTTGGACTGTTGATGACACCACGTTTCAAGCCTTGTTTTTAGAAGCTGTAAAGCACAAATCAGACCTAGAACACTTCATGCTGGTCCGGAGGGGAGACGTGGATGAGTTCAAAAAGCTCCGGGAGAACATGCTGGACAAAGGAATTAAAGTGATTTCTTACGGAGACGAATACGCCGACTTGCCCGAGTACTTTGAGAGGCTGACGAGCGAGATCGCCACGCGGGGCCGAACAGGTACCGGGGCTGACAGGCTGCGTGGGACCGAGCTGATGCTTTAAACATTGCTCATAAATCATGAAACTGGGGAAAAAGCAGCGAGTTTGGTACCTCCGAAGGTAAAACCCAACCTGACAGAACTTAGCCCCTGTGCTCTGTGCTGTGTTATTCCTTAGGCTTTTTTCTTTCTCTCTTCTTTCTTTTTTCTTTTTTCTCTTTTTTCCTTCTTTTATCTTTTTCTTTTTTTCTTTTTTTCCCTTCTTTTTCATTTCTTTTTTCTCTTTTTTCCTTTTTCTTTTTTCCTTTTCTTCCTTTTTTCTCTTTCCTTTCTCTTCCCTTTTTCCTTTCTCTTTCCTTTCTCTTCCCTTTTTCCTTTCTCTTCCCTTTTTCCTTTCTCTTTCCTTTCTCTTCCCTTTTTTTTCTTTTTTCTTTTTTTTTCTTTTTTCTCCACACAATAGTCTGTGAGTGTAGCTGCATTTAGGATTTATTTTTATGAAATCTCTGTTACAGCTTAAATAACTCTGCTGCCTATTTTTCACGCGCAGCTGCAGTTTTTTATTCCCTTCATAGGGAAAGGGAAGGGCGTTGAGTCTCGCTGACCTTTGTGCTACTCGGACCAAACTAATGCTTTAAACATTGCTAATCAATCATAAAATTGGGGAAAAAGCAGCGAGTTGGGTACCTCTGAGGATAAAACCTGCACACTCACCCCGTGTCACCCCATCCTTGCTCTCTCCTAGGGGTGCCTAAGGAGGGACAACATCTGAACGGCTCCGCAGCTGCCGAGATCAAAGGTAAAACTCCCCCAAACCCCAAGAGGCTTCGCCCTTCGTAGCTCCTTTACGACTCTCCAGCGGGTTTTTCAGAGCTTTTCCTTTCTCACAGGACGCAGCACCTGAGCACCAGCCTCGCCCCAGGATTTGTGCCACAGCCAGAGCTTCCCTAGGACGAGCCAGAGCCGACAGCTCGTGGGCCCACTGCTGTCGAGCGGGCGCTGAGCCGAGCCGGGACACTGCAAGCACAAGCCGGAGCCTCTGAGCTCAGACAGACGCCTGGTTTAACACAGTAAAGTCCTTTTATCGCCGTCTCCCCGAGGGAGCTGCAACCTCCTCCGATTTCATACTTAGTGCTTTTGTATTCTGTACTTTCCATTAAAAAAAAAACCAATTAAACTTGAACATTTTGCTTTGGGGCTGGTTTTGGTTGGGTTTTTTTTTTTTTATTTTTTTTGGTTGTTTTTTTAATTAAAACTCTAGTTTTTCTAGTTCTGTCTTTACACTATAGAGTATTTTATACGTTGAAGTTTATATTAAAGGCTTGTTCACTTAAAACTTTTGGCTGGTGTGTGATTTACGCACCTCACACAGACAGGAATTTGTAGGAAATACATTTTGTTATTGTTTGTTTGTTTTGGTTTTTTTCTTTTACACAGAGAACAAATTATGAAGTAATTTTATTTCATATAAATTATGTCTTTTAGCAGACAGCATTCAATTTATTGCACTAGAGCACATCTGCAATACAGAGTTACAAGACATCGTAAAGAGAGTTTTGTATTCTTCAGTGTAGCACTTCAGACCGGGATCAAGAGGCACTGGAAATGGGGGTGGGGGGGGAAGAAAGGGGGCAGGAAAGCAGCAAGCAGCCACCGTTATCTTCCAATAGTAATTTTTATCTATTTCTTCCTTTTTACTAGCAAATCACGCTGAGGCCAGCAGGCAGGAGACAGGCAGGGGCTGTTTTCCTTCTCCAGCCATGATTACCACTATGGGATCAAGGTGTTGCAGCTCTCCGCTCCTGCCTAAATACATGGTGAGTCCCAGTGATACTAAAAACAGAGACTTTAAGGCAATTTAATAATCTAATTTTAAACATTTCCCCTCCAAACCCAGCGCAGTTTTTGGTTTATCAGTTTTGGTGGAGTTGCCATAAGCAGCGATATTAACAACCAGATTTTTAAGCAGCGGCCATCCTGCTTGTTCCTGCCAAAAATCACTGCTGCATCCTCCCTAAGCTGGTCTAAAAACAACAAAAATCAAAAGCAGCTCAAGAAAAAAAAAACCCCCAAAAAATCAAAAAATCAATCTCAAAAGCTTTCAAAACTCCCCCCCAAAAAAAAGCACAGCAGGTCCTTGCGCTGCTCGTTTCCCCACCCCGTGCAGCACGAACAATACAAAGCTCTGGATTCAGCCTCTCCGGGCGGGAGCCTGCGTCACTTAAAACAGAACGAAGGAATCCAGGGGAAGGGCTGTTGCTGGATAAAATACATTTTATCCAAAAAAAAAAGGAAAATTAAAAAATAAAAATAAAATACCCTTCACGCCGCTGTCCCTTCGTTCTGTTCTGCACTACACGGGAAAGACTAGTCGGTAACGGGGTAAAGCATCGTTATTTGTTTCTTTTTGGACATCTGCAAACAGCGATTTGGTGGATTGTTGTTGGTTTTTTTAGGCCTTCATGAGCGCTGCGACCACAGCCTTGGCGTTAAGGCTCCGGAGATCACAGTAAGTTTGTCCGGTACCAACAAAAACGATGGGTTTGCTCGTGATGTAGGTCATGGAGATGGCGGCACCAACCTGCCGAGGACAAAGAAACACCGTTAGTTTACAAATCTGGTGTCAAAAAGTGGGTTAAAAATTCAGTGTGGAAATTAAATTTAACAATTCCCATCTTTCCAGTCACCAGCGGGAAAGGCCGCGCGGAGCCGTCTCGACGGTCTCCTCACCTTGTCATCGATGGTATCAAACTTGGTGAGGACGATCCCATCAATGAGCCGCGGTGTCTGGGCCATGGAGTGATCAGCCAGGGCCTTGTTGAACTTGACCTGAGGGACAGAACAGATCCAAGAAACAAATCTCTGTTAAAACCAACAGAAATGGGTTTTTTTCCCCTCCTCTCAATCTTTCAGGAAACAAAACCTCGACGCTCACCAGCTGATCCACAGCCTCATTTCCCACCAGCGCTTCCCCAACGAACAACACCAAGTCGGGAGCGTTGACGGCGATGAGTTTGGCCAACGCCGTCATCAAGGGAGCGTTGTCCTGCATGCGACCCGCTGTGTCCACCAGCACCACGTCAAATCCCTGGTTCCGAGCTGGAAAAACAAAAACAAGGATAAAACAGGGTATTTCCCCCAAAAACAGCATCTTCCACCATCATTTTATCCACCTACCGTAGGAGATGGCCTCCATGGCAATCCCCGCGGCATCTTTGCCGTAACCCTTCTCGTAGAGCTGCACCATGGTCCTCCCGCCGTGGTTCTCCGGAGGGTGCAGGGCGTTGAGACGCCGGGTGTGAGTACGGAGCTGCTCCACCGCGCCCGCCCGGAAAGTGTCACAAGCGGCGATGAGGACGCTGAAACCGTTCTCGATGAGCCAGAACGAGATCTGTAGGTGACAACAGATCAAACAAAAACCCCTGGCCTGACCTCATCACCCCCGTCCCACAGAACCACGAGGATCCTTATCCTACCTTGGCCAAGTTGGTGGACTTCCCAACGCCATTGACACCACAAAAAGTGACCACGTAGGGTCGACGATGACGTTGGGCGTCCATGACATCGCGGAGAACGTCCACGCGACGCTGGGGCTGCAGGATCTGCACTAGAGCCTCCTGCAGGGCCTGTTTCACCGTCGAGGTCACCGCTGGGAAAGAAGGAGATGGAAAGAGAACTTGTCACGTCTTGAGGAACATTCCTGAGCTCCCAAGCGTGAGGCCACGTGGTCACTTACTGGTGAACGTTCCCATCACCTTCCCTTCCAGTTTTTTAGCCACGGATTCACAGAGCTGGACTGCGATCTCAGCTGCCACGTTCTTTGCTTCGAGAAAGAGACAAGAGAACAGAGTTAGAGCTGCTGAGAAGGTGACACCAGCGTCCAAGGAAGGGTGGAATCAGCATTCCCCAGAGGTGAGACAAGAACCTACCACGGTTTCTCTGGGCAAGAACATCCCAAACCACAGGTTGGGACGTTGGTCGAGTGCAGGGAACCATCCCAACAAACCCCCTCCACAGCAGATCCAGACATACCAATCAAGTGATCCTTCATCTTCTCCAGCACGGGGTCCATGTCCTCCCTTGTCAAGCTCTTGGAGCCCACCAGACCTTTCAGCATTCCAAACATCCCCCCCAGGCCACCCTTCTTCACGCTGTGGGCAACAGAGGAGTTACCTTCAGGGCTGAGGAAGGAATTGTCACAAGCACACACCAGTTTGTCCCCACAAATCAAGAAGCGTGTGAGAAGCAGGAAACCCTCTATCTAACCTGGGTTTTGAAGGATTCTGGAGAACCTTCTCCTCTTCAACTTCATCATCGCTCTCATACTCAAGGTCGTAGAGGCGGCCGGGCTCCCGATTTCGATCCCCCAGAGCCTACGAGGGAGGAAAAGACTCAGCTTGAAAACAAGCAACCGCTTCGGGTCACCCACCCCCGCCACCCCCCGCGAGTTGCCAGCGGCAGGACCCGGGCTCAGCGGTGGATCCCATCCGGGGCTGGAGAAAATCTCTTCAGCAGCAGAGTTACGATTCCCCATTTCTCCTTCTGTCCCAACCAACCCTGGGGACCACAGGTTGGGTTTGTCATCCCCAAACAACCCGTTTCTAACCTTGACTCTTTCTTACTATTTCAGGGTCGAATTCCTCCGCGGGAGGAGCCTCGGCGTTCCCGTTGGTAGCGGAGTTGCTGTAATCGAGTACTTTGGCGTTAGAGTTCCCCAGATCCCACACTCGGGGTTTCTTTCCCTTTTCCTTCTGGGCCTCCGGTTTTGGAGATTTGCTGAAAACAAAACAAACAAACAAACAAACCCCCAGGAATGTGGTTTTGTTTCAGCACAGGTGAGGCAGCAGCAATCACCTCCTTCAACAATGGGAAAATTAAAAGCTGGGATGACCCAAAAAGGGAAAAATTTCGGCTAAAGCTGGCGGATTCCGAAGCTCCCGAGTTGATTTATTGGAATTTTAACCCCGGCTCCTTTAATCCTGTGGCTGCTCCCTCGAGCCAGGGATCAGCCTGCGGGAAAAGCCTCCCCGAAACGGGCTGTGGGGCTCTCCCCGGGCCCCATTACCCCTCCGGGACCCCCCAGCGTGCCCACTCCCAGTATTTCCAACAAGGGGGGAAGGAAAAAGGGGAAATAAAGGGAAAGGGGGGGGAATA